TTTGTCAACATATTGAATGAATAACAAACCTCTTGACATAAAACATTTTAAAATTATACTTAAAGCAAATCCTTTAACATAGCCTTAAAATACTAATATTGATTAACATACCACTTAAAGGCAATTTTCACTTATAAGTTAATTATTTCAATTAATAAATAATAATTATTAAATAAAATATATACTTAAATTAATCAAAATTATTAAAATTAAATTTTTAGAAAAATGATTTCTCAATGACCTCGCATTTTACTAAATTCGATTTTATTAAAATTCTGTTGAATTTCGAATCTAATAGAGTAAATTTAACATTCAATAGTATCCTTTGAGACAAAAATTATTTTTCTATAGAAAAATTTCTCATTGTACCTCAAGCTATATTTAATAACACCAAATTATCGTATAAATTGAAATGAATTATTTATAGTTTACGATTATTAAAATGCCAATATAATTCATAAATTCTTTAATTGATTGTGTAATAAAACAAAATCAATAAATTCAATATTATAGGAAAATTTACCCTAAGCAATTTAATATTAAATTTTTTTTTTGTACTTAACAAGCAAGCATATGTACGTTTTTATATTATAAATGTATATAAATAACAATATTATTGGAAAAAGCCGTTTTCAAGGACCTTCCTTCACACTATCCTCGAACAATAATAGTCTATTACAATTAATAACATATTTTATATTCGTTATAAAAATCAATTTATATTTGAAGAATTTATGGTAGCAGGATTTAAACTTTATTGTCTCATTTTGCAAAAGCACTGTAAGTGAGTTTAAGCTTTTATATTCAAATGAGACCCGGTGTCTGTAACAACTTTATTACTTAGCAGTATAGTTTTTCACAATTTTGTGAGAAATGTCTTTATAAAATCTTAATTTAATGGAATAGAAAAATTTAGACCGTAAGAATACGAGTACGCATACTTTTGTAAGAAATGCTTCTGACATTGAAATATGAAGGTTTATAATAAGATTTTCAGGCCAGAATAAGAGAATAAAAAAAAAAACAATTCTTAGAGTCTTTTATACCATTTTTAAGTTATGCAAGTACTTTTTTTCATCAAGATCCTTGAAAATGTTTATTTTTTGTCCTAATTATTACAAATAAATATTAAGTTCAATCTACAGACTATTAAAAATTATAATGTAAGTCTTATAATTTTTGACCTACGTCAAAATTTCAAGTTAGGATGAGCAAAAAAAAAATTATTGGAAGAAGCATTAAAATAATAAACAAATTAAATCTACATTAACTCCATTAGAAAAATCTCTATTAGGTTTTTGCTTTTAAATAAATTTGAAAAAGTTTGCAGTTTTCAAGTAAATGTCTAACAAGCTGCCGAATTACAAACTTCTACAAATTACTACCTAAAGGAAAAATCATATAAAAAATTTAAAAAAAGACAAAGGGTTTACGATAATGGTTAACTTCAACGAACATATTCTCATTTTAAATTTAAATTATGCTATTCTGCACTAGAAGAAGACGCTATCTTTCAGAATTTAAAAAATGCTTCTGATTTCTATACAATAAATAATCAAAAAAATGGCATTTTTAGAATTTTCGGAGTGTGTAACTGTTACTATTGTATATAAAATTAACAGTTTTCTATCTTAAAGAATGCAAAAGTTTTGCACACCGGCACATGAACGGATGAGCAGAATAAAATTAATTAACAATTTTTTCCAACAATCTTAAAAAATTTCTAAAAAGGAAATAAGTAAACTTATGCTCTGAAATTTATCATGAGAGTTCTGTAATTATATTTTAATTGGATTTAAAAAGTTTTTCACAATCAGACAGTTCAGTAACAAACTGTAATCAGTTCAGTATACAACCTAAGTTTCAAATCTCTTATTGACATCGAATGAAGGTTAAAAAAATTGAGAAATAAGAATAGAAAGCACATAGAGAAGTAAGTGCAGATCCAGTGGGAAAATTCTACTGTATACCATTTAAGATTCATATTCCCTCAAATTAAAAATCTTAAGCCAACAATACATTCAATTAATTGAATTCAAAATTAAAACTTAAAATAACACAAAAGTTTTTTTTATCTAAATTTAAAGAGATTAAATTTTAATGAATAAATAATAACTTTTTTTTTCATTTTTTTCACAATTTTTTTTTTTTTTTAATTAAATTCCAATGTCAGAAAGAAATTATTTTTTTTTCCTTTCGAAATGCATACAAAGCAAATATTAAAATTTTTTCTATATATACATAATAATCATCCTTAATCTCTTATGTATTATTTATATTATATTATATGTACATAAGAGAGAAATAATGAAAGGCCACAAAAAAAAATGTTCAACAAATTAAAAATACAGGTTGAATAGGGTATAACGCTTTAATACGGCATTGATATAATCAGAGACAATAAAGAGAGAATGCAAAAAAAGAAAGAAAAGAAAAATAGGATTTTGAATATCCTAGAAAAATATTAAATTCAAAATTTTTTTGTGTTCATGTTTTGTTTTTTTTTTTTTGGTACGTTCAAATATTTTAATATGTTTTCTCTATGATTCTTTTTTTCCTTTTAAAAGGTATACAAAAATTTTATGACTTTATTTTGCTTTTTTTTTTGTAATTTGTTTTTTTTTCTATATCAATATTTTATTATTTAATATTTTTCGAAAAAAACAAAAAATTTTTTTGGTTCCAGTTTTTACTTCTTACCTTTTATATTATGTACTTTTTAGGTCCAATATTCGTAATATCTGTAATTTCTAATATTATGCATTCCAATTTTTGTGATACTTTGAGTTTAACTTTGTCTTATATTCAGTTCACGTTTAATTCCAAATTATATGGTGGATGTTTCGAATGAAATTTTGTTACTTTATTTTTTCTTCACTTTTTTATTTATTTATATAAATTTTTTATGTTCGTACAAGTTCAGTAAATATTAAAAGTTTTACGTATGTAAATTATATAAAAAAATTTTTATATATAAAATTTTAATGCTCAAAATGAACGAATGTTTACGATTTTTTGTAATATTTAGATAAAATGAAGTCATATTTTTTATTTATACGAACAAAATTAATGAGAAACACCATTGAAAAAATGAAGGTATAAATAAACACAAAATTAAAATATAGAAGAAAATGTAAGGAGCTGCATTTATAAAAATAAAACAAATTAGAATGAGAAACAATTAAACGAAACGTTAATGTTAAAAAAAATTTCGAATAAAAATTAAAATTTTAATTCAGAATTCTCGTCACTTAATTATTGTGTCACTCTTCTGCTACACTCATCTAAAAACAAGCATATTTTTTTTTTATTACCACCTATTAATTTTTTAGAACAAATTTAATTCTCTTATATATTAAGAAGCGAATTTATGAAATTAATGTAGGTGTATCATAAAAATATGTCATAAAATTAAATTTATTGAATAAAAAATTTTTATTTTAATTAAACGTGTCTATTCACTTCTTCTTCTCTTCTGAAAACACTCACAAATATTTTAAAAATTTGTTTTCATAAATTTTATTATTAGTTTAAGTTTAACCCATTCTTTAGAACAATTTCTTTTATATTCATTCCCTTAATAAGATTAAGTTATGATTTTGTTAATTTCAGCATGAAAAATATTCCATATAGATGAATTTTAAAAAAATTATTTTCATTTATTTTGTAATACTTTTTTTTTATAAAATTGAACAATTCTTATAATTTTGTTATTTAATTACAATGCTATTATTTCGCATTATTTGGAATGACTCTTATACTCGTATAATATAGCTGCATATAATTTTTGTTGTAACGTCAAATTTAGTGTGTGAAATTGATCGTACACTGCACCAATATTAATTTAAAATTAATTAATTAAAAATATAAAATTTGAAGTGGAATCACTCATCATTTATTTAATTCCGGATATTATTATGGTAAAATTATATTCAATACATCTTAATAAATTTTTAACATTATAAAATTTAAAATTTTTATTCAAGTGAGTGCTAAATCAAAAATATTTAGATCAACTTATATGCCAAATTTATTAAGTCACTTTTAAGTTGTCCAATAAATTTTATTAAATAATTTTATAAATTTATTATTTTATACAATTAATATTATTATTTTATACAATAAAATTATATTTTTTAAATTGTAATTGTTGTTATTTATTTAAAAATTAATTTTCTCTTTTCTTTTTATTTATTTTCTTAAATATTATTTAAAAATAAGAAATTATTTAAATAAAATTATAAAAATTTAGCTTAATTTTTTAAAAATTTTAATTTGGTTATTTAAAAAAATATTTTTTTTCATTATACTAATATTAAAAAGTCTTTAATATAAAACTTTTAGAATTTAATTAAATATTCTCTAGAAATTTTAATTTTGTATAAAAAAAAATTTACACTTATTTTTTCCACAAGAACAAATATTTGCTTTATTTCATAGTGCAACAAAATATTATTCCTCCTACGAATAAACATATGCAATTTTATTAATATTTTTTTTTGTTCTCTCCCTCTATATGCCTTAATCCATAATAAATATTATTTGTTCGCACGTGTTTTTTATTATAAATATTAAAGTTGATCAAAATTATTTTAATATTGATTTTTTTTTAAAATACACTGCTTTTAATATTTTATTTATGTATTAAAATTAAGAAATTAGATCGACAATATTTCAATTAATCACGTAAATTAATTTTTTTTATAATATTTTAGAATGATACTCTAAAACACAATTATTGGAATAAAGATATTACGGTAAACTAAATAAAAAAAATATATACAAATAAGAATTAAATATACCTGTTAATAACTTATGTAAAATAATAATAAAATAAACTATAATGATACTTATATTTGTGTGTATTTAAAAAAAAAAATAGAAAAAAATTATTTTTTAAGCTGTTGAATAATTCAAACTACATAAACACATTCTTAACTACGCACATATTTTAATATATATTTTATTAAAAAAAAATAATATTTTATTTGACTACTAACCTTAAAATCAAAAAACTTCCTTTTGAACTAATAATAATAATTTATAAAATAAGAGTTTTAAAAAAATTTTTAATTATACAAGATCACAAAAATTTCAATCAAGTTCAAAACCGTAACAATATATTAAATAATAACCGAAATTTATAAACACCACCAACTTCTTTTACTATATTTTTTCTTTTATATATATATATATTAATTTGTATTTAATACATTATGTACTTAATATCACTGTCACGATGTCACATAAATTTATTGAAATTTCAAAAAACAGAAAAAAAAAACTTTTATTAAACAAACCAAGTATATTAGACAAAAAATGATAATAAGATTTTATCTTAAGGCTATACGAGTGATATTTTTTTCCAAAATTTCCTTTTATATCACTTTAAATCAAATAGAATTTTCCTTTATAACGCGCCGTTTCTATTTATTGAAAATTTTATTACTTATATATATTCCTTTTTGTTCTTTTATTCATAAGGCCCTTACAATTATATTTTCGGGTATTTTTTTTTTTAACAAAATATTAAAATTTTAAATTAGGAAATTTTTGTTATCAAAAACAAGAATTAATTATGGATATACATTATATACTTATTATATATTTATGTATTTTAAATGCATATAGGTTTACATAAGTGTAAGTATAATTTATGAATTAAATCCGTACCTAAGAGCGAAAAAATAAAACATAAAAACAAAGAAAGACAAATTCAAGGCAGCTGAATAAGCATTAAAAATATTTAAAGAGCAGAAAAAAAAAACTGGGACAACAACAAATTCAGTACTTTTTTTCCTTTTGTTTTTTATTCTTCTCCTTCCTCCTGTCGTATTTTAACTTTTTTTCTTTAAATTGCTCCCGTTTTTAGTATAAAAATTTTTAACCGAAACAAAACAACAACAATTTTCTGAAACAAAAAACTTCTTTCTTCTTTTTTCTATTTTTTTTTGTGAAAAAAACTTCTTCACTCAATTAAAAGAATTTGTTTGACTTCTTGAATTTTTAATTCATTAATGTGAAAGAATTGAAATCCAATGAAAAAAAAAATTAAAAAAAAAAAACGAAAATTTTATTTCTTTTTTTATTTTTTTTTATTTTTTCGCTTTATAAAAAAAAATTTTGAGATTTTCAAGTACAAAAAAAAAAAAGCGATTTTAATAAAATATTCTTTAAGTTATTTAAGGTCCACTCGATACGCCCGGGATGCTGACACCACGATGGACCATTTTCAACTGAAAAAAATAAAAATCATCTTTTGTTATGACGTTTTTTCCCATATTTCTAAATTTTTGTTCATTTTTTATTTTCATTTTTTTTTTTTGAACAATTCTCCTTTTCAATTTAATAAAAGGAGAAACGTGTAGGAAAATATAAGAAAAATTGAGTGAAATTTTCTCATTTAGTTTGTCTTATTATTATTTTGTGTTTTTAATTTCCCCTACTTTGTATATGCTCTATCGTATTATGTGTGTTCAATTCATTATACATGTGGCATAACCATTAACAACAACATTTTAAGTATTATCCTTGCGTAAGGTGAAATTAATTTGAAAATAAAAAAAAAAGGAATTGAATAATCACGAAAGAAAATCAGGTCGGTTTTTCCACTTTTTGTTTTCTTTTTTTTTTGCCCTATATTTTCACTTTTTTCTATTCTATACTTTTTTTTTTCTTTTTACTCATGATATGATTTTCCATATGACTTTGAAGTACCTTGTAATTCAAAATTTCTCTGTAATCCTTAATAACGTTTAAACATGTATAAAATAGGATACTTAATAAATTCCACATTTCATTGAAAATGAATATTGTGTTTGTATAATAAACAAAATAAATAAAGCACCTATACAACTTTAAAAGAATTTGCCAGAACCTACAAAAAAATATATATATGTATGGTTTTCAACACCAAATACGAGCTCCCATCTATGTATTTATTTTTATTTTAGTTAGTCAATATGATTGTCTGAGCAATTTTGTAGATATGGTAAAACAAATTTTCTTAATTTAAGATGCATACTTTTTGTTATGCCGAAGAATAAAACAATTGCTTATTGAGATTCCTTGAATATTTCGAATTAGTTATGAATTAAAATCAAGCTATAATCCAATCAACTGTTTCATAACTTTTTACATGTGGAAAGCCCAAAAAATTAACATCACTACCTGCCGCAGAAATCGTTATCAGAAAATATTTCCATTACAATCATAAATTAACTATACTTTGTTTCCAGTAACAGGAGTTCTGACTTAATAAAATATGAGAAAAATGTCTATTTTAAGATTTTGAAAAACGCACCCTTATTTTCGAAAAAAAAAATAAGAGATTTATTTAAGTATATAACAGCCAAAGTTTTACAAATTCTTTATCGAAAACTGTAATACTTCAGATATGACGATCCAAAGGTTCTTTGAGAAGAATTTGTATTAAAAATTGGAATTAAATTTTTGTTTTATTCAAATCAATAAATACATGATAAATCATGGTGTCTAATCAGCAAACACATACAATACAGTTTCACATTTAATCCCGTTATTTTTAAGAAATAATAATTTCTCTTTTTTTTGAATCAACAAAATCTAATACTTAACACATCTTCCACAAATTTATTAATTATAAGATATTCTACAACTAATTCGTCAATATTATTCAATTCCACAAATCATTTGTTTCCACAATTCATTAATATGTGTACTAATACCAATACTTACATAATTTGCTGTGTAGTTATAGTCATTTCTTCTGATGTAAGAAGAAATTTCTCTCCCAATAGTAAAGAGAATATTTTTCTCTCAAAAATATTGATAAGGATTCGCATATCCTCGTGCTCATTCGATTTTATAAAATTATTTTATAAACATTAATAAATATATAGTTATATATTACGTTACTTATTTATTCGCACATATATGCATACACATGTACATTATATGTGTACAATACATATAATATAGATATGTATATTTTTACGGTACAACGATTTCAATGGGTTCTTCTTTTTAGTAAATTCAAGTTAGTTGTTATTGTGATTTTCAGGATTTTTCAACACTATATTGGCCATATGGGACTCGAATTGAATTTTCTATATGCCTTTTATTTTTTCTATACATTATACATTATTCGTTTTCTTTGCTCTTTCTCCTTCTACATTATGGCTAATACCCTGTTTTGATTTGTTTTTTCTTTATTATTTTTTTTTTTTATTTCAATTTATTCTGCCAAAAAATGTATGCAAATGTTAAGAAAAAATAAGTAAAAAATTAAAAGAAAAATTTAAATCAAAGTAAAAAAAAACTGCAATAAAATTTATTTTTATCATTTTAGTAGAGATTTTTGCGTTGGTTGAATGTTTATTCTATGTAAATGTAACACACATTTAAATACTTTAAATATATTGCATAAAACACAGTGATTTGTGCAAAAGCCATTTCGTCATCATCATAATAATATCAATATTTAGATATTCATTTTTAAAATAAAAGGCAAATGAACACGAAGCGTGTATGAGATGACGAACATGTATGTAGTGTGTATGGATTTTAAAGTGCTTGATCGAACGTGTTTGATTCAAAGCAAAAAAATAAAATAGCTATTTTATGTATAGGGCTTGCAAATATTTCTCAGTTTATTAGTGATCAAACTAAAATTTAAAATTATTTGCCTAACTAACTTGTTCGGAGATAATAAAGAATTTTAAACTATTCTGTTTTGAGCAAAGTTAAATCAGTAAAAGGAGTGATTCAAATTAGCTTTTAGGGAAGCTATGTCATACAACTTCAGAAATTATTTCTTCATATTTTAGAAAATATTGTAATAGTATACAGAGCTAAAGTTTAACAAAAATTCAAAGACTATAACATATAGGTAGAATGAAGTACGTAGTATACAACTCTAAGAATCACAAAATCTATTCTCTTGAATTTTACCATGACACATTGAACCTTATATATTCCCGTAAATTTATCTAAAATTTTGATTATTTTTTAACAACTATTAAATTTTCAAAATGTAAAGGATTAAAAATATACTATACATACATAGTTATAGCCACTCTGAATATTCAATAAATAGTTTTAATTATTTTTAATTTCCGAAATAAGTCAAAATTTCATTTAATTTACATAAATCTTAAATATAAAATGTAATCAACATCAGAATGTAAATACATGTTATAGGTGCTATGCTCATACAACCTGATGAATTCATTTTACACATATCCTTTTTATTATGTTCAAATTCACATACGGATATATATATATATATATATATATATATATATATATACATATATATGTACAATATATAATAAACTTCTTCTACATATATACGTAATTTTTTTTTATAAAATTAACAAGCATAACCATCATTTTCTCATCATATTTTACATGTGATTTTGGTGCATACTTAAATGCGAATAATACGAAAAATCCTTGAAACATGATTTCAAAACGAAAATATAAAAATGGAAAAAAAAAATATTTTTTTAAAGTCAAAATGAATAAAAAATATTTTTTTCATTTTTTTATTTTTATTTTTTTTTTGAATGCACTTTTCGATTTCATAGAAGCACACACATATGTATACCATCATATATAATCTTAAATGCATAAATATGTATATAAACTGTATATAAGTATATGTATTTAGCAAATTATGTAATAGATCCTAAAATAGTTGATGATATGAAAAGGATAAATTGAAAAAAAAGGAAAATAAATGAAAAGAAATTTTTCTTACTTAAAAAATTTTTTTTTTTTTATACAAAAGTAAAGTACAAAAGAAGAAAAAATAATCATTTGAAAAAAAAAACAAAATTTTTTAACTATACGAAAAAGTTCTTGACTTTTCAACATTAATGGTAATTTATATATATACATACAAATTTACGATAAAACGAACAAATATAAAGATTTTTAATTAGAACATATAGAAATTTTTAAACTTAAAAAATTTAATGAATATGCAAAAGGATAATAATAACGCAATTTAAAGTTTTTGTTTTTATTAAATTTTTGAGTTTGTAACATTCTTGAAGAATGCCATAAATTAGTTAAACAAAAGTAATTAAAATCGTAAGTTTTAAAATATTATCCTTCAAACTTTCAGTAAATATAAACAAAACTTTAAAATTTATAACAGAAATAGAAAAAGAAAACGCAAGTAATATGAACTTTCTCTTAGTCATATAACTTTCAAATATATTTGAGAGCCAGATATAAATTTTCATTGCGCCTATAGGATACATGTATACAAACCTCTACTGTTTCCATGAAATTTTTTCCAAACACAATATTGCTCCGTACGTATGTCATTTAGAACTGAAATGTATCACCATGAGTTTACTGATACTGCGAACCTACATTATCACAGAAGCTATTAAACGTAATATGTAATTAACAATTTGATCTATTTTCATTTATTGAATTAGTTCTAGCATTTAAAAAATTTAAAATAATTAATGCGATTTGTAACGTTCGTTAATACCATATGATTTCTGCGTAAAATAACATCAAAATACTATAAAAATCAGCTGGCAAACAGTGAAAATAGTACAGACAGTGGTGAGTCTACATCTCTTCGGTTGTTTACACCATATGGTTGTAAGAATTTTGTAAAAAGCGTATTGAATAGATCCAGAATTTTAACAAGTGCACGTTAATAAAATGTCGACAATCTAGGGGTTTTTGTATAACAACGTAATTTTAAAAAAATCCTCAAGAATAAATCTTTTTTCACACTGTTGCATTGTATTTAATGAAAATTGATTTAAGGAAATAATATTTTTATTATGAATTATAATCAATTATAAAATATGTATTTAAAATGGTGACATACATGATTGGAACGAGTTCGATTAGGCTCTGTTTATAGTAAAATAAGGCCTAAATCAGCAGGTTTTCCGAATTTTTTCTCTATTTCGGAATTGTTCTGAACAACATCGTTTTATGATGATCAAATGAGCAATTTTTTACCGAAAAGCAGTCACAAGAAATTTTGCTTTTATTTTTGTGTGTATATATATATGAGTTTGCACTATAAATGCGCTATTTTGCACAATCAACATGTGTCTACTAACTAAATACCAAAGTATTTATTAACCGTTTAAGCTAATAAAATATTTTTATTTAAAATAATAAATGAATAATAAGTTCGCATTTCTGTAGAATTATGGGTATTTTCAGTTTATATAAGCATGAGTAGTATAACAC